ACACTCTTGAGCGAGCTCTTAACCAACTGAGCCACTCGGCCGGCGAGATTTGGATTTTCTATTGACTCATATTCTCTTTCTCCACAATGTAGAGTGGACAAAATAATTTTCCAGGTAGTCTGCCAAAAAGAGGGTTTTATTTGGGAAAAGCAGCAGCAAAACCGCCGCAGCAGTGTGAGAACATGCACCCCCGACTGGCCTCTCACGTGCAACATTTTTTCCCCCCTCCCAAGATGGTCCCTCTCTCTATATATACATCCTTCCCCTAGGACAGTAAAGTTTTAGAACTACAAAGTTTTAGCAGGAAGTGAGGGCTAGAGAGTAACAGGAAGACCAGCCCCTTCCATAGACTGCCCAGCTCTTGGGTCAGTTTCTTCCAGTGCCAGTTCACTTTTATCAATGACAATTCTGAAGCAGGTATTACTGCAATTTCACTGCAGTTCTTCCTAGCTAACTCTGTCATGCCTGAAGCTTGACCTACCTGATTAATTATCAGTGAGTTAGATGGGTACTGGAAGGTTAAATCTGGGGTCTCCTCACACCACACTTTCAAGTACACACATTGCCAGGTAAGTTTTGAGAAATTCTAGGTGTTATTCACCAGTCTTTCTCTCTGGACACTGAGATAGCAGTCTCTTCTTTCCTGGGCTGTAAGCTCTTTCCTTCTGAGTCTCTTCCTCTGCTGCCATAAATTCAAATGCCTACTGCTCCTCTCCAAATTCATTCTTCTCTGCTCTAATAAATTTCCTCTATCTTTTTGTCTTATTGCCTTCCTCTGAATTACACCTTTGACTCAAGAATGCCAGTGCTTCTAAAAATATTACATTATTCCTAGTGAAAGCAGCTCAGGCAATTTCTTCCTAAAAGTAGGTTTCACTTCTAATTTTCTGTATGAACAAACGTTTCTTTAACTGCTTCATCTCCAAATTGTGCACTGGCTCCATCAAACAATGAGAATTCTGACCTTTCAGGACTATGTTTCCTTATAGAACAAGCTTACTTAAAAATAATACCTGATTCATTTATTCATTCACTCAACCAATAAATATCAAATAAAAGGCATCGTAACAGACAAAACGTATATAAAATGTGTTGTGTCCTTAAGGAGCTTACAATCCAGATAAACACACTGAATCAAAGGCAGTATGAAACAAAGATCATATGGCCATATATTATATGGTATGAGTATTTATAATAGAGTTGTGCTTGTCCACTCCTGACCAAAAAAATCATTATTAATAAAAGCCAAAGTGCAATCAACAATGTGTCCTTCAGTCTCTATGGTTCAAACTGATCAGTCCCATATTAATGGAATGCCTTATTTTAGTTTAGTAAGGTAAATAAAGCATAACTTGCCCAGCTTTTTCAATTTCATCATTCTGAATTTGGAAATCAAAGCATGGTTCTGATTCTCATTCTCTAAGCACTTGCTTTTTAAAGAAACAAGTTCTCTATGGAGAGTCAAGCTACTTTTATTTATTCAGTACAGGGTAAGTTCCAGTTTCTCTACCAAGTCATTCACTATTGCCCTAATTTCTATTTACTACCTTGATTGTGTGTGCTTCTCACTTCCCTAGATCAAAAGATGATGCTTAAATATAAAGAACTTAAAAACAGGGCGGAAACACAGCAGCCATAAAAGACCTGTCTATCATTACAGTGTAAATGTTGAGGAAAAGGTTAAAATCGAAGTGAGCAAGTGTGTATTTCAAAGTGCTTTGGTTCATTAAACAGTCATTTTTATTTTAAAGCCATTATATCAGAGTTATTTGCACTGCTACTGCATAAATTCAGAGATCTATTGTATTCAAAAATGTTTTATTATGTTATTTTATTTCTTTCCCCAAAAGATAAATATACTTTCAATTTTAAAATGGAAAAGTTTTGGAAAATGAATATTCAATATACAGAAATTCACTTTACCAAAAATATTAGGACTTGAACTGCATTTAAAGTGCCCCTGTATTTTATACTGATCCTCCAGAGAACACATTTTTAGCTTCTGATGAGAGTCTCTCATTTTATTCTCGTCACTCCAGGCATCCAGAAAAGAGAGAAACATGATATTAAGCATCTAGCAAAGCAAAATCATTCCATAAGAAAATATCATAAAGGGTACTTATGTGAGAGTCACACAACAGTAACCTTTCCAAGAGCTCCTAACTGGTAAGCCCTTAAAAAGCCCGAGACCCAGTGCTGGATACTCATCCGCCGTCCACCCCAAATCCAGCCTGTGTAACCAGACACCTACCACTCGCTTTGGCTTCCATGTAAGAGGGGCCATCCTCAAAAGTGAAGATCTGGGACACGCTCTGGCCCAGGTAGGAGGGAGGCGGATAGTAAGAGTGCATCCTGTACTGGGAACTCACTGCATGGCGGTTCTCCGAGGTTTTCATCTGCTTAAGAGAAAAAGAAGGAATAATATTGAGACCAAAGTTGCATTTTACACTCATTACAAGAATTGCCTAATTCTTTAAATAAAGGGGATAGCTTATAAAGTTGGAAGTATCCTCAACCACGAATATGCACTCCAGGGCACTGATCCTGAAAATACTAGAACTGTGCATCCTGAGGTGCCTTTTCAATCTTGGGGCCCCTGCTAAAGCACCCCTAAAATTCCATCTGGTCATATAATGCTTGATTAACAAGTACTAAAGAGAAGAGGGTGGGGAAAATGGGAGAGTGCTGCTTAGGAGCCAACAGAGTCCGCTGTAACACAGACTAGCTTGTTTGATGCGCAGCCAAGTTATTTCACTTCCTCGCGCTTCTTCATGTGTAAAGCTGGCATCTTACCCCAGTTACCTTACAGGGTTCATACGGAGAATATTTTTTTCAAGAAACAACATGCAAATAGCATGTGAGGATCAGCTGTTGTCATTCGCATGATGCTGTGCTGTCACTCAGCATCCATCCCAACTTCCCGCCCATGCTCTTCCCGGTAACAAGGAACAAAAGTCTGGTATCTCTGTTTCCCGATTCTCCTGTCAACAGGGCTCTGGAGGTGACTTGGATTCTGTTAATGGGACATGGAATGAGGTTTGGGAGACAGAAGGGAAGGCAGAAGTGAGCACATGCTGTCCCTCCAGCAGCAATGAGCTGCTGACCCTCGGCAGTCATGCATTTTTTCTGGCACTCAGACCCTGCCTTTGGGACCATGGGGCAGCTTTTACGTAAGGAGTAATTTGCATAGCTTCTCAACTTCCCACTCAAAGCTACGAAGATGGGACCTTCGGGCTTAGAAGGGGATCCCCCTTCCACTTCCCTGGTTCTTTGTAGCCACTTCCACAAACACCTAGAATTCGTCTGTTTCCTGCACAGAACCCTGGTAGACACTGAGCTTTAAATGCATGATCGCAT